AGCCACGATCGCCCTATTCCTATCAGAGACCAAGATACTAATGACTATAACAAAAAAAACGTTAATAGCTCAAATGACACATTAAGGACTGATTTATTTGTCTAACTGATGTTAAAAACACAAAAAATATACAATCATGGATCAAAAATCTCAGGCAGTCAGATCAAGTAAAGTCTGATTTATGTACCTGCGCAGGTGATTCAGCACAGTCATGTTTGCATACATGTAGTAGAGGTAGTAGGAATAGGGCGGGTTGTCCTCTTCTGTCCAGTTGACTGGGAGCGGACTGTCCAGGTTGAAGATATGTTGCTCTGGTTTTGATTCATCATCCACGCTGTCGAAACCCACAACCTGTTTGAGGGATGAAGAGCAGATCAATAAAACGACTACCCAAAAAGTGACTGCAGTAAAAGCAAATGACCAAAAAAGCTTAGATGTCGTACGTGCTGAAGGAAGAGGTGCAGCTCTGGGTGGCTGCTGGGGTCGACCGTAACCTCAAAGAGAGGCATGAAGATATTCTCCAGCATTTCTTGGAAGTTGCACAGCTGCTTCTTCGTGTGGTAGACGTCACTTTGAAGAAACAAGAAAACAATTCAAGAAGCCCACAGGGGAGATAACTAACGAATGGGTTGAGGAAATAATAGATATCAAATCTTTATTTTACTCATGTATTCAATAGATATTTACAGAAGGATCATTCATAATATTGACTTGGATTTGTGTCAGAGTTGCTAGATACATGGAAATTAGTTTTCAGTATAAGTTATATAAATGACACAAAAACAAACAACAAAAACTAAACACAGTAAAAATCGAAACAGTGTCTCTTTTCAGGCATTTTCCAGTTATAAAAAAAAGAAGCCAAAACCGTTTAATATAGGGACTATTTTCTTTTTACCGTCTACTTCTGCAGTAGTTCTGCGGTAAAATACAAAACATTTTGTTAATGGAGAAGATGCATGACAACTTAGTTACATTGCTACTCTTCTTTTTATCACTCAATTTTTGTCACATGATATATCACAACACCACATTTGTATTTACAAATCTCACGTAACTTCGAGTAGCTTAGCAACAAGGCAGTGCAAGTATCATCAGTTTTTATTAGCTTACTTAAAATCTTCTCTAAAGAGAGAGGGGACTGCTTTTTCATTGTTGTTTATTTAATTCAGTTTGCTACTCTTTTTAAGCTCACAAGAGTCGTGGCACTTGGACAAGCCAGCGCACGTTGTCGGAGTAGACCTGATGTTTGACTGCCCATCTGGCCAGTTTGTCCCACTCGTTTCTGGAGCGGCCGTAGATTGACAGCCTGAGCTCCACGTTCTGGTACTTGCTCTCCTCCAAGTCGGCCATCACCTCCTGAGAAGAAGAGACACACCAAGTCAGCCAGAGGGCGCCAAAGCCCAGAGAGTTCGCCTCCAGGTACCAGAAACGACTGGTCTGTGTAAGAAACAAGTGTTTGCAACTTCAAGTGTTTGTGCATACAGTGAGCACCTTAATAATGTGACCAAAGTATTTCCCCTCAATGTAGTTGTCCGTTTTGATGAAGATCTCTCTCAGGATGGACTCGCCAATGGGATTATATTTGGCATTGAATTTGTCAAATCGGTGGAAAGTGTTACGATCCTGCAATAAAAAGGTGAAATACGGAGTCACAATCTCTGACCAGGCAGCACCTCTGAAGACCTTTTTTTAAAGTCTCCTTTATGGGCACTACTCACTGCATGCATGTCCAGTGTGTCAACACTCAGGTCAAAGGCTGTAAGGTGCATGCTCTCAAACACCTCCATCAGTGTCTGACCCCTGCCTCTTTCCACGTGTACAATCTCTTTGGGATACTTCTTCATGGCTCTTTTGATAAAACGTAGAAGGTGCTTCTGGTTCATACAAGAGGAAGCATGAATGTGCGTGTCAACCTGTGGAACAAGTCAGACAAACAGGGAACATAAACCCTCTAAGATACTGCAGTCTGCTTCTGGATTTAACAACACTAACCATGACTGGGTGAAACAGAAAAGCTCTCAAGTTCACCTTACGGATATTATAAAAGTCTCGATGTGGGACTTTCTTCTGTGCAGCCAGCTCTTTCATCTCATTGAGCAGGATGTGCATTTGGAATTTGGAGCTGAGGTATTGCAGACGTCTATAGCAGAAGGACTTTCTGTGGCAAAGCCAAAAGAAAGACAAATGATGGACTCTTTCTGTGACAGTCTGAAAATAAACTTCTGTTGATCCTTTTTGAGAATCTATTTTTTAACTATAAGGTTAAATTAATAATTTATTAAAAATGTGGGAAACCTACACTGGCCCGTTTATAATGAGAGCCATCATGACGTTCATATCAGCGATGTACTCCTGCAGATCTGGATACGGCAGATCCAGCTCTGTGGTCCTGTAGGCAACATAACAACTAAAACACTCTTTCCTGCAAGCAAAATGTGTGAACTCAAGTCTAAAAACAGATATAAATCTAGTCACGGTGAAGACGAAGCATGTGTGCAGAAAGTAAAAGATTCCTGACAGATATCTCACTTATCCATAGTGTTCCTCGTCGTGTACAAGTGCATAACACCATCCACCATCTTACAGCCGTAACCCATATCAGGGGGCATGCTGGTGGGGTCCACGTTCTCATAGGGGTGTGTTTCAGAAACAGGTGGGTGCACTGTGGCATCTAAGAGGAGACAGAATGATCCAGTGTGTCACAACTTTGATCAAGGTGGGCAAGCAAGTGCAGCTATGGTCTGACTTTAACTGCCTACATGCTGTGACAGCCTGCAACAGATGGATCGTGAGATCTGTGGGTGTCCCTGGTTATGTTTTAATATGAGAGAATTGCACAGATTACCAAATATTTCTGAGCAACAATAGCCTAAGTAGAGCACTCAAGAACACAGGTGCAAAAAACTGTTGGTAATTATTATTGTCTTCAAGGCTGAGCTGAAATTATCCTGCAGTTAAATCTCCTGGGTCAAATTTGTTATGAAATAAATAACAGCTTTGATTTGTATTTTAAAAAAATACTTATTTAAAAAACTTAAAAAACACATACATTTCTTTTTTTTAGTCTAATAACCCAGATAACCTAGATTTACAAAGACAGACATTTACATTAAATAACACACTGACATACAAAGACTTCTAACATTTTGAACCGTAACATGTTCCTTATTTACTTGATAAAATCTAGTTTAATCATGGGTTTAAAAAAGATCTGTTCATCCATCCATCCCTCCCTCCTTCCTTCCTTCCTTCCTTCCTTCCTTCCTTCCTTCCTTCCTTCCTTCTCCTTATCAGAAGTTAGGTCACAATTTGGTCCCAGGCCAGAGATATATATGATCTTCAGGTAAGGTTCTGGGTCTTAAAACCCACATCTAGGGGGGCACCTTAACAAGATATCCAAATGACCCCAACTGGCTCATTTTAACATTGTGAAATAGTAATTCAACACCAAACTCACTCTGGATGTCAAAGTACCTCTCCCTATCTCTATATATCTATATGACCTTACTCTTCCAGTAATTACCCAGGATGCACGACCATATGTTTTTTTTTCTTTTTTGGGGGTGGGGGGTGTCTGGTAAATCATTTTCCCTTTTCAGGCCAGTCCCTTCCTCAACTCTGAGCTCTGCACTATTTTCCACTAAAGAACCGTGCCCTGCATTTTGGAGGTTCTGACTCTCATCCTGTCCCTTTCACACTTGGCTGAAAACCACTCCAGTGCACGCTGAAGGTCATGCTCCAATGAAGCCAACAAAACCACATCAACTGCAAAAAGCAAGATGCTTTTCTCAGGTTTCCAAAGCAGACACCCTCCTTACCCCATCTACAGAATCTGAGACAAGGGGAAAACCAGGCAGAGTCCAACACAGACTGAAAGCGTGCCTGACTTTGTGGCGAGGACACAGACAACACTCTCACCCCGGTTGTAAAAGGACCCGATGGCCCGTAACAACAGACTCAGAACCTGTGGGGTATACTAAATAAATATTGTTTTGACTAATTTAGATTACAGTATAAAATGATGCAAGAGCAATGGTGCAGATGAGGACATTCATACTTGCAGTGACTGTGGTTTCTGGGATCTCTTCCTCATAGATATCTAAGTCTAGGGGTCTCTCACTCAGCTCCTGCAGGTAACGAGCAGTGGTTCTGCAGAAGCTCTGCAGCGACAGGCCCATGTACTTTTGCCTGATGAACAGAGCCTTCACTACACATTTGGCAGCATCCAGCAGATCTGTAAATGGAACCTAGGACAGAAAAACAGATGTCTTCATGAAAGATTTGACTGTAAGAGAAAAAAACACACACACAGTCTTCCTGCAGTGACCACTCTGACTTACCCCACATTTCTCTTCTCCAGAAATAGTGACTCGCTGGTACTCCTTCTCAGGGACCGGTTCTCTCTCCTGCAGGTCAGGAATTTGGCTCTGCTCCTTCATGTATCTTAAGATAGATAAATAAACATATGAGATCACCATTCTGGCAGTTTAAGATGAGCATTGAGGGGTTCATGTGACTACGGTTGACTCACTCAAGATCTGTGGCACTGTCAGTCTTCATGAACTCTTGCTTGGCTCGTAGGAGTATGTCAGGTTCAAACCTGAGATCACAAACACAAAGGCCGAGTTGAGTTCATAGTCTGACTGCAAAGTCAAGTACCTCTTTTGCCCCTCGCGCTTACTTGACATCCTGGCTGATCTGTCGCTCAAGGCGATGACGTTTCTCCTCCAGCTGTTCAATGGGGCTGTCCTCTGGAAATTCATAGGGGGCGCTCCGCATCTCGCTCTCTGCCAGGCTGCGTGAGAACAGCTCCTTCAGACAGAGACAAAGAAAAATGAAAGCCACGGCGTAACTTTGAACATCACTGGTTAATTATTTGCACAGTGGCTGAACACTGACTTCGGCAATCTCCTTGTATTTTCCATCCATGGAAGTACGTAGGTCAATGGATTGTTTCAAGGCCACAGGGATCCCAGGCAAGGAATGCTGGGAAGTGAGGAGGTGGCGGGTACCACGGAGATCAACTGCAGATAAATAGGGAAAGAAAGTAGGCGCTGAGCAGTTTCTCTTCTGTGATAACATATTCTCAGGAGCCTTATTTTGAGACTTCAGTAAATAATGGTCTAATTACAGTATGAAGAGAAGAAACAACCCACTGAGTGGAGCACATGGGGGCTAATGTTTGCTGTTTATCTTTATATCATGTCTTTGCCTGTGCTGCATTTTTAATAACCTGTAGGAAATAATTTGTCATTGGTGTGCATGATAATAGCAACTTGCTTCCATTTAGGGTAATATTTTATAATACAGCCCGTGACTAATGGCGTAATTAAATTTAATTGTATTTAATTCGAAATTGCAATGTGATTATATTTACTTACAAATAATTAATATCCTGGTAACTTATTGGAAAACACAACAAATATTTCCCCATCTTACATCATAAGTACACTGTACTCTTGGGCACACGGGCTGTATTATGGAGTAGCTTAACCTTAACCAACTTCTGGATATTTTGCAGGAAAGGAGGCACATATTATAATGTAAGTAATTTTAAGTACATCATAAGTAAAAAAGAACAAATGAGCAATAGAAACTTCATTATGCATCGTGAATGTAGGATTGGAAATATTGTTTTCCTTCAAAATTACTAAGAAACATAACATTTTAAAATGAGTTATGTTGTACTTAAATTTACCTACATTAAAGTTTTTGTCTCCCATTCTGTAAAATACCTGAAAGTTAGGCAAGGTTATGCTACTCCATAATACAGTCTGCACCCCAAAAAGATGGCACAACAATGTTTGGTTTTCCACTAAATTACCCGGAAATTACGAAGTACTAAAAATGACATGTGCACTACTTAAATTTATTTACAGTATAATTATTTCTTTCTTTACAGTAAAACTGTAAAACTACATTTTGACTTCAAATAAAACACACTGAATGTCCATTTAATTACAGGGGAATTTTAGCCTTAGTTGCGGGCTGTTATAAAGTGTTGCTCACTTTGATTTAAAGATTTACTGTCAGAGTCTAAGACGTTTACTTTTTTCTAGGCTCCTCAGAATTATCAAATTATAAAGGTTTTGGTGGCTTTCGTGGTTCGTTAAAAAGCTTTTGAGCATGAGGTAATGCATTGTTACAAATTGAAAAATGCACATCTCAGTCAGGGAAGCTCCACTGCTAAAAGCTTTTTATTCACTCAGCAAAAGTATCGATTCAGTGTAATTTACTCTTAATATTGCATGTTAGGACCGATAAGATTGCTTGTAAAACTTTTTCAAAGTCACTAAAACAATCTGCAGAAGCTTGTTGTTCCTCTTCACACAGCAGTGGAGGTCTGAGCTCAGTGGCTGTTTGTGCCTTCAGACACAATGAGCCATTCAGGTGGAGAGCCCATCAGTTCATACACCGACTAATGCAAGCCATTGTTGCCATTGCAAGGCTTGAGTTTTATACAAACCCTGTTGTCATGGGAAGCTAAAGAGGGGGAAAATAAAGGAGTCTGGTTCTTGACATTCAAAGACTTAGGACATGAGAGGTATGAGTGGAAACTGTTTTTTATAGCACAAAAGAAAACAGAGATCGCACTTTCCCCTCTCGGCGTATATTTAGACAGATATTAATCTTCCCCTTGAAACGATGCACCTGCCACTGAAATATTCATCATCCTGCTAAATATTTCATCCTGTGCATGCTAGGCTGTCACTGAGACTGTTGTCCGTCAGCATTTATAGACCATACACACAAGAAGGTCAAAGAGGGCGCACTGTTTGATACTTAAAGTCTGCACTCAAGTTTGACTTATTTAACGCAGCATGTCTGAGCATGCCTGCTCCTCAGAGAAAGCAAAGGAGACCAGAGAGGCCAATTAACTGGGCCGATTAGCACTTCACAAAAAGCTTCATTAAAATTTATTTAATAAAAAAAAAACACTCAGTGAAGTAGGCGAAATGGCTGCTATAAAGAGAGACAGTGGTAAAATAATTGGCCGGACCACAACTCACCACCAGTTTATCACCTTCTGCTTAACACCGTCCAATCAGCACTTCCCACTCCCACTCACATGGACTACAAGGGAGTAAAGTCAAAACAAGCACAGTATTTCTGGCTAAAAGGTTTTTCAGATCATTATGAGAAACGCAAACTTTTTTCTTAATTATTTGAGTATGATAATGTTTTGCCCTGTAATAGTTGAATGAGGAGCAAATTTTAAAGTTTAGCTCAATTTCCCTTTATAAAAAATATCATTTTTTACTGAACTGTGTTGAAAAATGATCTTTGATATTTGATATATATTTATTAAAAAGCGGATACATTTGATTTAGGAGATGCACAGAATCATCTTGTATAGCTTCCTCTCTGAAATACACATCAGTGCTGGGAAAGTCTAAAGATAAATGGTTGTAAAATCTTCTTTTCTATGTCATTTTGAAGATTTTTTTTCTGCTTACACACTCAGCAGGTTCAGTCCAGTTTTCATCATAGTGCTGTCGACAAACATGGCAAAATTAGCCTCAAGTGAAAGTTGCAACGCTGTTTTTTTTTGTGCATATTTATTTACAATTTGTTTGGTTAGAGTCACTATGCATAACTATAAACTCACCAGACACTTTATTAGGAACACCGATTTAACTGCTTGTTAATGCAAATATCTAATCGGCCAACTCAAAGCGTTTAGGCATGCAAGCAGAAAGAAAGTGATGACCATAATGTTTCTTTTCATTAACTGATTGGAATGACTATGAAGGTAGCACAGCTGATGGTGCCAGACTGCCTGAGTATTACAGAAACTGCTGATCTATTGAAATTTTCCCACACAACCATCTCAAGTGTTTAAAGAGAATTATTCAAAAAAGATAAAACATCCAGTGAGCTGCAGTTCTCTGAGTGAGATGCCTTGTTGATGGCAGAAATTAGAGGTGAATGGCAGGAAGCTTCAAGCTCATCTCTGAAGAGTATTTCCAGCACCTTTTTGCATTAAGCACAAAGAATTGGGTCAGGGGGGCCTGGAGCATATCCCAACTACCATAGGGCAAGAGGCAGGGTATGCCCTGGACTGGTCACCAGTTTGGTACAAGGCTAACACAGAGACATAACCCCATGCTTAACTTTGGACTATGGGAATAATATCCAGAGAGGCCACACACAGACTCAGAGAAAACATAAAAATGCCACACAGAACTGGATATTTTAATATTCATAAAATATTTATACTTCAATATTGGAAAGCTAATATTTTAAGTACTTTATACTCACTTCAGGTTAAGTTTGGAAGCCATAATTATCATTTCCCACTATTTTGACAGTTTTTAATGCACACTAACTGCTGATACAAATAGCTGTTAGTAGCAGCTCTAGTCGTAATGGAAATATAAATATATAATAAATCATTTATATAAATAAGAAATTATACTGATGCGCATATAAGTCAGCTTCCTCTTTCCAAAAGCAGGGTTGAGTCAGTAAAAAAATGCTGCGATGCTCCAATCTCAGCTGAAAACTGAAGTCACACATAGACGCTTCTCTGCTATTAAGAAAGGGCAAGTCTGTCAAATGTAGCGGTTGCCTAAGATATGTCTCCGCTGTTATTCTGGGAGACATCAAAATCATCATGATTACAGCGGACACTTGTGCGGAGGGCGGGAGGTGACCAGTGGCAAAGACATGCATGCTGGGCCACAATAGAGCAGAGCCTAGCCAAGCCTACCAGACCCCAAGCTAATCCCCTAATGGCTGCTATATTTGGATCAGTAGCATCAATGGTTGCATAACAACTCATCCCCCAACAGAAGAGCAAACCACTCAAAAATTAAAGTCAGCCATAATTCATTTGCCTTTAAACTATATATAATCTGGCAGGCTGAAGCTTTTAATGCACTATGAGGCAGGTGCACGAGGGTCCAATTAAAACACAATTTAAAGTGTTTCTCGGCTCTACCACATGTGTAGGAGCAAAAAACACTCGGAACATGAGACAACGCAGCTCACATGCTCTCTCACAGCTCGTCACTACATATTGCCTCAAAACAAGGTCAGATAGTATCAGCTTGCAGAGAGACTTCCACCACATGAATATTTCAGTAGCAATACAGAGCATGGAGAGGTCCCAGCTCAAGTCTTACAGCATGGTGTAAAAAGTCACCACAGACGCAACGATAACTGGGAAGTCAACCTACTCCTGGAGCTGCTTTTTTCTCAGCCTTGTACAGGAATAAAACTTTCCAAAGAGCGTTAATATTCCCTGACCGATCAGAGTTAAGATTACAGGATGGTTATATTTGTATATTGACTGTCTTTTACCTCTACACCCTCCCCTCTTTCTGGCTACAACCACACAGGCCATGGTTCACCAAATGCTTTCTACCTTCTTCCACTGACTGTGCAGCTTTCTGCTCACAAAAAATGTCAGTGACTCACAGCCTCTGTAGCAAATCTCTCTCAGTGGAAGCCTTATGTTCTCACAGCGCACATGTGTCAGCACTGCTGAGATGGCAGGATTACTGGTGATGGACAAGTATGATTAATAAGTCAGGGGAGTAAATGTGGATAGTCTCGGAACCACTGTTTCAGTTGTTTTTCATCGATGGGCGCAGATTACCACTTCAGCGTAACTAAATTACCAAATTTGGCGACTCACCACTTGTATGGGCAGTCTCCTGGTCATATAGAAAAAAAAGGATGCTATCCAGCTATGCATCAATCAGCCGCCATCTCTCATTACTGAAAGTTCTTCTATGCCAAGTGATGGTTTAGTCTCTGCAGCTGCACAAATCTCCTCTCTGTATTTATTTTACTGTTGTCAGACTTCTCAGTTGAACCATAAAGAAAAGCAATACCAAAACTATAAAAAGCTCAATGCCCACTAGACTTGAAAAAAGAATTTCTGCAGGGTCTTGCGGTTGGAGGCGTAGCTCAATTTATCGATCCTGGCTGCTTCTCTTTGCACGGTTGCACCTTTAGAGCACTCTCAAAAGACGCGAGAAAAGCAGTTTTTGGGACAATCAATCGACACACATTC